CATGTTTATATAAAAAACGATAGAACTATTACCAAGCTCCAAAAGTGATCCAAACTGGAAATATTGAGAAAAATAATAGATGTTTTAATAATATGAATCCCAAATTAAATATTCAGTACAACTTTTAAATGCTATTACCTAATTCTGTCCGTAGCTTCTTCATAGCATCAAGAGAGAGCTGCTGAAAAGTGTCCTCTGACTGGCTTTGCACTATTTCAGCAAGGCAAGTTTTAGTAATTCGTATGAAGTGCCAATCACAAACCATAGGCCAACTCTCTGTTGAGGACATCTCACTGGGGCATTTACAGCCAAGTAAAGATTGTCTTTGCAAGGGCGCTGAGAAAATATTGGAGCTAAATCCGGTGCGACACGATTGAGAGACAGCTACTATGGAAGAGGTAACTTCTTGGGGCAGATCGTCAGCAATCGCTGCCAAGCGATGTTCCGGCGTAAGGAAAGGATAAATCTTTTGACTCGGTTTAAGCAAGCTCGGTGCGGACAAACTGAGTAAAAACGATCTAAGCTCGAAAGGACTTGAGGGAGGAATCTTCTCCTTTTTCTTAAAGCAAATATGCAGGAAAAATATATTAGATAATGGTTATATACTATCGAGACGCTTGTTCTACTTTAGAAGACCCAATTAATGAATATATTTCAAGATAAGGTTTTTTAATATGGGATGTATTTACCCTATTTCGTTTAAGGTGGTGAAGGGCTGGTAGTAGAATTTTCTCACAATGATATAAGTGGAACTGACATTTCCATTTAATTACACAAAGCAATGCTTTCCCAAAAGTAGTTCTCATCCTGAATGGACTGAAGTTTCGACCTCACATAGGTCTTATCAACACTCCCAGCGGAAGTCGAACCGTGACAGTACAGAATGTGAGCTTGACACGTTAATCACTCGTCCACATTGCCCCGAGTGCCCTTGGTTCACAGGGCAGATGTGAATTTCAAGCAAGGCCAGGCCTTTTGTTATATCACATTCTTTGGTTGAATTGCCGATGAAGCAAACGATGGGTATAGCAAATATACCGTATTTTCCGGCGTATAAGACGACTGGACGTATAAGACGACCCCCTGACTTTTACAG